ATCGAAAAAGAGGAGGTATAGCGTTCCTGTGCAATTTCCGATAGGTCGTACGTGCAACGAAGGAGGTTCCTCGTAGAAGAGGAGGGTATCGGCCAAGGCAGACCGTACCTGCGCAAACAGTTGCCCTTCCTTCCCCGTGTCGGGCTGGCAGGTTGATGCACGAAACCTTCGAACCGATCGGCGAAATATAGTCTTGGCCCTAGCTGTGTGAACATCTATGGTAGAGACGGGTCTTCCATGCGGCGTAGGCGCTTGACCCAAATGGCATGAAGTGTGATCGATACGACAAAGCGCCACAGATCTCGAGCTGCCGGGGAGACCGCATTCTGAGCTTTCAATAAATTTGTCCCTGTGTTTATAGATAGCTTGACAACAACCCAGGCTTTGGGCGGAATCCCCGGTAGGTCCAGTCCAAATACCCAAACATGCAAGTCATTCTCGAAGAATGTACCAAGCTATCGCCACCGATCAAGAAGAAATTTCCCAGTGTCGACGAGCGCTAGGGTATGTCCAAAAAATATATCTTGCCAGAGCTGGAACATCATCCACACACTCAGGAACGGGGCACGACAGATCTTGCTTCGCCTAATTCCAGAGCGAGAAACATTTACTCTTCAGTCGATATATGGTCTGAGCGTTGTTCGAAAAGGAAGCACAAATTCGTCATATATATCTCCACGTAATCAATGGTGAACCTTCCGATATCACGTGAAAGTCCGCCTTTGCAACCCGTTCCTCAAGAATTCTAGTTCCTTCAATATAGAGCCGCCGGGAGATAAGCTGTTTAAATTTCTTTCGATGTGGCCGCCACCATCGACGACCGGCCCACAGGTGGACAACCCGCGTGAGCATCGGATGCGCGCCAAAGTGGACAGGAGTCTCAATGGATGAGTACACGGCGATCCCGCACGCCTTCATCGACGAGACGGGTTGCAACCCACATTCCATGCTCGAATCGAATTGCTGGAGAGATGTACCTTCACTAGTGAGAAGCCAGTCATGAAATTGGTGCACCTTCGTTGAAAACGAAATTAGGGACCCAGGTTACAGCGCCCGATAGACCAGGGACGGGAAATTGAAAAGAAGGGCAATGCAGAAGGACCCTAAAAGCCGTCTCTTTGCCATAGACTGGGTCTCCATGTCACGCGTGGGAGAGAACAAGACAATTCCAGTCTGCAAAGTCGTCCAAGACATTGCCCTGCCAAGGTAAATCGAACCCATGGCAAATGCGGCTCATTCAATGCAAAAGTCGTACCTTGTCGATCTCGCAGCCACGACGTATCCTTGAGCGTGGCGTGGACAATGCCATACAAGCACCAGGAATATAACGCAAGCTGCAAAAAGAACCTTGCTTCGGTGGCTCAAATTTACCTCGTACATTTGTGAGTCTGTAATGTATGCGTAGACACATGCCTGCTAAAACTCCATCCAGTGTCATTATGACGTGCACATTCCTATTGCACATAACGCAACACTGTCATTGCCACGAACTATCATGATGGCTAAATAAACATCAACAGACAAAGAGAGTTTGTAAACAGCTAGTGTCTCAAAACGTGACTCAGACTGATTCTATCAATTGTTATCATGGTTTGCAGCGTCGCGTTTTGGACCGTCGACCGCCGTAAGACTAGCAAAAATGTCGGCAAGTCGATGCCTTCGCAGCGTAGGAACAAAGCCTTCGTCTACCGCATCTAGTGGAGGAACAGGCATGGCAAAAAAACGCTTTGGTCGGTGGATGACAACAAAATTCTATACATTTCTCCTGAGATTTTGGCAAGCGCATTCGATTAGATATGGTCATTGTTAGGTCCTGCATTGGCCTGCTCATACAAACGCACAAGTTATACAGTTGAATTCACCCAGGCAACAAGTTCGATTGGTAAGGGCAAGCCGAAGAACTCATTCAAGCTCAAGACGATGGCTCGAAGAAGATAAAGTGATAGCAGGCCATTTCTTTACCAGTTATAAAAGTCTTTATCTTACAGAACACACGAGGGAACTACTATCTTGATCACGAAATGTCCGGACAGGACGCGCGCCAAGTATAGAGTCAAGAGTGTTGGACCGAATCGTGACTTGCTCGTCATAACATGGTTAGACTACGCTTATATTCGGACTTTTTGCAGATGGTATCATTCAAGGACCGACGAAAAAGATATTCAGATTGAGGCTTCCACGGCGGAGACGTAGCATCCGAACATGCTGAGGTGCAGCTTCAATAAATGTGTAAATTCTGTATGGGGGAGTCGAGCAGCTAAGCCAACATATGTCCTTTCGTCTCCAGGATCTGAAAATGAGCCCAGGACGGCATTTGCTAGGGCTTCTGCGGTGAGCGGTAGTCATGTATACTAAGCTACTTTGTTTAGACGATTTGGGGGGGGCACTACTATACAGGGGGATGCAGTGATGCTATCCGTACACAAATACCAATAACTAAGTTGCGAACTGCAAACCGACTGTCGTGCCGCGGAACACTGAGCTTGTCCGTTAGCAACGCGGGTGTCAAGCCTGATGTGATAGAGCAGAATCATCTGTACCATAAAGTAGCTAAGCAGCCAGCGAAGCTGACAATTGATGCGGAGGACCAAGCGTGTATATGGGGTGACGTTGTGCGCAAGACAGTCGGTAAAAAATATGACATGGTCCTTCCGAGGTTGCGGTTCACCATATCCCGGACCTCGTCGGCCAACACCTACAGTTCACCACTAGATCTCCAAATGCACACAATGTTGATTGGAAACGGACCGGCATCTGTAGTCATGCAAAGTCTTGATGTCGAGAGCGTACCACGAATGGTTGCGTCACGCAAGTTGTCGATCCGGAGACAAATACCTCAGGCAAGTGCTCTGCCTCGCAACATGCATCAGATGGAAGAATGAAGTTCAGTGCATAGCAGGTCGCGTTAAATACTACATTTGTACCATGTTTCCCAACAGCCCAAGCAAAATTTTGATCAAAGAGATACACATATGCTTCAAGTAGATATGCTGACCAATTTTACGATGCGTGTACCGTCTAAGATAGATCGGGCTCTTCGTTACAGCTTCCTTTGTCAACACCGCAAATATTGCAATTGGTAAAGTAAAACCTTGTTGCCAACTTACCATATCTTTGTCAAACCACCGTCACGCCGTTACCTTTCCGGTCCACGATACGGTGTTTGACCAGGGTCAAACAGAAGTCTCATCATGCTGGTGTTCATCATACCCTGCATCTTCCTTTTCATGGTACGAGTGCTGGCCGCATGCAATTGTAACAATGGTCATCCAAATTTGAAGAGCTTCACTTGGTCGTTGGCAGCAAGGTTGCTAGTGTGCACAGCACTACTTGACTTCATTCCAGCCCATAGTTGCATATCAACTTATTGGAGTCGCATGAAGCCATTCGTGTCGTGGCTTTGCCTCTTATCAGAATCGCTGTCTCATCTTGACCCTTATACTTAGAGACAAGTAGTCGATGTTGGTGTGCTCTAGCACGTCCTAGCTTCTTGCCAATGGCTGAGCACTTGATGGTGTTATCGTACCAAAACACCAATGATAGGTTCCGGCCACCACGGCCACGTCAAGTTTGTGGTGCTCAATTATACCCTGAGCGGCACCGGCTTACATCTGTCAAAAACTGACCTTTGTATCCCGAATATCGAGCTGCTTGCTGCGGCCCTCCACTTCAAGCATAGGACAAAGATGCACGCATTGATAGTTGATCGCGACCTCCTGCGATATAACGTCACGGCACATGTCATGACGCCTACATAACTCGCCAACGTCCATCTTGAAAGTACGTTGGACATGCCAAACTAAGTATGCGTGCATTCTCGCGTGATTGGTGCTGTCATGCGTGCTTGGCTGTCTCAAAGATCGAGTGCTAACGGTGATGCATGTAGTATTACATTTTACACACCCGAGCAACAAGTTGGGCGTGTCACGCGCACTTGTTTGCTGCCTCATCAGCAACAGCAACCCACGTTCGTGTGCGTTCCTCTCGCGCAGTTACACACTCTCATCGATTGCATCGCACGAAGTCGTCACAATTTCCTGCAGGGCTCGTTGCAACACACCAATTGCTTTCGATACTTCCTACTACTTGGTCTTTCGTCTTCCTGCGACTTTGCCTGCCTGCTTCCACTCTCCTTCATCAGGAAATTCGGCAATGCAACTTCGCTGCGTCTCTGAAAGGACACGAAGCTCGCACGTCGATCGGGTTCACGTAAGTACTTGCAATCATCGTTTCGATCCTTTAGTATTCCACCAAAATATCTTGATGATCATGATCACATGTCCCGAAGTACAGTTCGCATCGAGTACCTATATTCTATCCTGCATTGCGGTAGCCTCACTGCATGTCCACTGCCACACGACTTCGATCTAGCCTGCGGTGTTCCTTTTCGCTTGGTCTACAAGGGCTGCCAATGCTTGCATCATAAAGATCGGAATACGCACTACAGACAAGACCTTGCCACTACCATTCAATGCCATGCAATCGAAGCGTCGTCGAGACACTGCTCGGAGAAGACCAGAACCTGGCGCAGGTGGCATGGAAAAAGACAAAGGCCGACTTATACGACTGTACTCTTCGGATCGAATCGACTCTTATGACCGACATCTTGCTGTCGAAAACGTGCTCAACGCTCAAGTCTCACGGCAACTATTGAGGTCTTTCGTTTCATCGACACTTACCTAGTCGACACCGTCAACAGTACGGATCATCATTTCCGTTTATAGACGAACTATGTGCTACAGGCGCTGCCCAGCAGCTGAGGCGACAACAGCCACTCGATGGTGGCGGGAAACCAATGCGTACGGTCGTTCGTCCTATTGAGCGAGGGGATCTTTGGAAACATATGAACTCTTCAAACGGTCTCCGGGCGTGGTGAGCCATTCAGAATGAGTGACATGACTCCGTGCTGTTCATGATACTGAAAACAAGTTGTTTTTCGCTCTTTGGAAGAGAAGTTGATGATGATGATGATGATGATGGCACCACGGGCTACATCCCTCATGCTGCTGCTAGTCGCCGTGTTATTGACCCTCTTGACGACCAGAAGTTTATCCACACGTACCGCCTCAATCGCTTCGGGTACCGTCACGCTCCACCCTGAGATACCGCTGCCATCGCAACACGTTTTGTACGGCGTGCCCCAGTTTTTTCTCGTCGTAGAGCTCGACCGGGACAAGGTGTACGACATTAAAGTATCGTACCCCGCCACGCAGCCGTCATTGTTTACGCTGCAAGTCGAGCACGTGGTTCTTCCACTGGTAGTGCAAAGGAAAGACGAAGATGCGCGTGCACGAAGAGATCCATTCGTCATGGAGGAAACGAGCGACGCGATGCCACATCGGAATCGACGGTTGAATACGGCAAAACTTCGACTACACCCGATGGAAGTGCAGTCTCATGCGTCCGTGCGGTACCGTTTAGCGCCAGCGGGAGACGCGGTGGAGGTGGTGTTTTCCCTTGTAGCAACAGTCGAAGGCGTGCAACGGCCAGACTCGACGTTGGCTACGCACGAGTGTGTGTTTGACATTGTTGTGGAAGAGATGCTGCTTGAGGCGTTTCCGAAAAACACGGTCCTGCTCATTGGGTGGGTGCTACTGCTGCTTGTTGTAAGCGGACGATGCGTGCTGCCGTATCTAGAGAAGAAAATGGCACTGGCGTGTAAAGAGGACCGAGTGAAGGCGACAGAGACCAAGGAGTCGTAGGCGGAGCAAAGGGCGCTCCAGTCGCGGGAAAAAGCCGTGGCGTGATTCCCAGTGTCGATAGCTTCCGACAATTGCTGATATAGCGTTCTCCTGGTTGGTGTACACGTCGTTCCGGCTTGGCGATTATCAACTGCTGCAAGGGCTACGCACTGCCTGTAGTCGACCTTCATCGTCTTTTGTCAGGTCTCTGCTAGGTGTCGGTGCACAGGCCAAGCGCAGAAGCAGAGTCCGGACCTCTGCATGTCAGACATCTAGGTCGATCTTGTGCTGGCTTTGTATACACACCACATTCTCTTCCTGGCGATAGCTGTCGTGTCAATCGGGTCAACACATTCGCACTTGGGAGATGTTGACGTCCAGCAGAAATTAGCTGCATCCTGTTCACGAGCACCCACGTCGGTATCCGGTTCTATTTTGCTTGATAACACGTAGATGCAAACAATACTCTCACGCCATTTCGTGGCCACTAACAAAGTAGACGCTCATCCGCGCAAGATCACCATACGTCGTCAGTCATTCGTCCATCGTGTCGACAGCGTCTATGGCGATTTGGTCGTGCAACCTCTTGGAAGCCACCCGCCTTGACCGAACGTGTTCGTATTACAGCCATGTCCATGGAGCCCAGAGAGAGCGAGACGTGGTACTACTGCCTAGTGGTAGTCGTGCCCTCGACCCATTTCGGTGTCTCCCTCTCACTTTCTCTTGTTGTTGACGTTACGTCGAGCACGACAACAAGTCGTTGCACGTGCAGTAGACGCGTTGCCTGCGTCGTAAGGTCATGCGTGCCAGTTGATGCTCTCGTTCGTTTTACACAACCAATTGATCGTCGGTTCGGCTACGGCCGCTCTCATCAAGAGATACGGTCTTCGCTTTACTACCCACCACCTGCTCCCGCGTCAATGAACGACGTTCCCACTCTTCAAATTTATCGGTTTTGCAGAGGAACAAATTTACGATACACCTGGCTAGCCAGGGCTCTCACGCACGACGGACGCCGAGTCCCGTCCGTGTCCTCCCCCCGACGCGGGGGGGGGGTCGGCCGGTGGCTGCCGCCGAGCCCCTACTCACGGGGATGGAGACGGACAAGGGGCCGGGACCGCGGCCTACGTCCGCCCCGTCCTCGCCCGCTACGAGCTTTGAACTCTCTGGCGTAGGCGATTCAACCTCTCCCAGGTTGCTATCTCCCTCCCCGAACACGTCCGGAGCTATCGACGGTGTGGGGACCTGCTCCGGCGGCTCTGATACACCGGAGGTATCTGCGGCAGCGGCGGCGACGACCGACACAGCATCTACCTCCGTCGCTCCATTCGCTATGTTTCGTGCATTGATCGCGGAGATGAAGGGTTCCACAGGGACTTGTCACATGGACGTATGGAAGACGACACTTTGTGAGCTCTTTGCAGTGGAATATTCTAAATTGCCGGTACGAGTGGAGGCGCTTCCGCCCCACAAAAAGCGCTTCCCCCAGTTAAAAGACGTGGAAGCGTCTAGCCTGTTACGTCTGTTCGAGCAGGTGTTTATTTCAAACTCGGGCACGTTCAAGGAGTGGCAACGGATCGCTCGGTCTTTGGGTAACGGCGTTCTCACGACAAAATGGGCGTTTACCGAGCTCATTCGGAAACTATCGAGTCAGCACAAGTGGGCGAAGGCACCGATTCTTAACCACTGGGCGAGCGTGGTACGTCATGGAACAGCTTCCACTGCTTCGACAGCGGCATCCACTACCACCGAGTACGAAGATTTTATGTTTGACCCTTCCAGGTTTCCGCCGGGGGACATCGAGCATTTAACACAGCTGTGTGCGGATCGCTCGTCCGCGGGTCGGAAGGTGCAGCTGCGGGAAGGGACTGATCACGAATGGAAAATCATTGTCGGAATAGCGGAAGGGTCCGTGGCGTGTAGACGTATGCCAGACTTTCTCAGGGCTGTACTGGACAGCAAGGAGCGACTGCGGCTTTACAGTACGGTCCAGGCTCAAGTCGAAGGTCATCTTGTGCTACACCTCGCTCACACCCGTGGGATTCCTGTAGGTCGGCAAACGACACGTGCTATCACCGAGTCTATTCTGGAATCTGCTGAAATTGCTAAGGTGAACCTTCAAGAAGTGCACAAGCTGCTAGGCTTGACGAAGACCATCAATTATGACCGCTCGACCAAGTCTATCCACTTCTTCTTTTTCTCTCGAAGTGCGGCCATGGGCCTTCAGGACGTACGCATTCCATTTCAAGGCCGTGTCTACATGCTTACTAACGAGCACCATCCGGAGCGCGGCTCCGTTTGGAACCGTCAACAAGGTCCGAGTGGAAGAACCGGGCTTCTTCGAGCCGAGTACTCGATAATTCTTCATAATCTCACTCGTTTTAATGAAATTGGCCGCGTCGCGGCGTACCTCAAGTCGAAGATACCGACGGAATTCGACTTTGAAGATATAGATACTAATTGTCCAACATCCCGTACGTCTACTTCGTGGTTGGTCACATTTCGGCTTTCTGGATGTCCCCTCTTTCTGCAAGGAATCGTTCGTATCCTCTGGTTTGGTACTTCAATCATTCTTCGTCATCCCGACGTGGGTCGTCGCCTACAGTGCCTTCAGTGTGGTAATCTCGGTCACCCAGCCTCTCGGTGTCAATTTACGGATGACCAACTCCGGGGAGTAGGCGGCATTGAGGTTACGGAGGGAGACCTCCAAGTCGTGGAGGACCTGGCAAAACCTTTCGGCAGTGCCGCCGAGATTCGCACAATGGCGGATCGACGTCTTCAAGTCCAGCGGTCGGCAGATGCTGCGGCCCAAGCCGCCGTCACACCCAGCGGGGTGCCAGTGAGCCCACCGTTAGTATGCGACCTTCCTAATGTAGGTCCCAGTGTGAGGTCTCAATCAATCTACACTCCCGCTCGACCAAACTCTAGTGACTCGGTCCCTGCCCCCAAGCCCCCACTTGACCAACCGTGGATAACGAAACCAGTCCGTAGATCCAACAATCCTTGGACCTCTCGTCAGCCCGTCCGTTCCCCAACACAGCTCAGTTCGGGACGGTTTTCAGTGCTTTCCTCCACGAGTAGATCGGACAACCCAAGCACGATGTCAGCTACTGAGCCGCTGGTCACTAATAGGACGGATGCTGACGGCCCGCAAGGGTGCAAATTCCCCGCCCACCTCTACGATTGTCAACACAGGAACAAACTCGGCGGAAACAGGCGCTATCGCGTGGAAAGGCGCAGACCCACTCGAGCCCACTGTTGCTGACTTTGAAGAGTCAGGCGCGAGTCACATGTCTGAAGTTACTCAGCCGCATGCATGACGCACCGACGCACGCCATTTCGTTGGCACCGCGCCCGATAGACGTACCTACAGACTTGAAGGCTCTCATTCCTCTACT